ATGTTCCTTGAGTTATACTCATCTCTCCTTCTTTCGCTTTATCTCCTTCTAGTGCTGTCTCCTTCCTTCGTCCTCCATAACCGGATGAATGCTTGCCGTTACGTTAGCAGTGGAAAGCTGCTTGCATTCACTTACACAACAAGTGACCATCGAGAGCGGTCGTGTCTTAAGTGCATTTGTGTCTCCGTGCACCAACAACCACGATGCCCAACTGCCCCAAGTGTGAGAAACCAGTCTATTTTGGTGAGTGCTTTCGTCTGTTTTTGTCATGAACACGTAGCAGTACTTTGTATTTTTAATTTGTATTTCTGTGTGTTAAATTCGTGTTTGATGTTCGTCAGGTATCAATATTTAAGCTCATTGGTGATCTAAGAGATTCATTTTCCTGCAGTAGGTATGCCGGAATGTGAAAACGCAAATGCTGATGTGGACATTTGGCATTGTGTAATCCAATCCAGTTGGCTGTTACGTCGCGTTGTATTGACGTTTGTGAACTGACTGTGGGTTTTCAAGCACCGAGGAAGTTATTTGGATGTTCGTAAAATGATCTGACATTGGAGTAGAAAAAAATCACATATTAAAAACTTCGCTTGTTCTTGCTAAATCAAGAAGAACGCATGACACAAATGAAAAATACCCGAGATGGTAACATAACTGTCAGTTTACGAGATTTGAGATTCTCAGGGCAATGAAGACCAAATTCAACGACGACCCTAAATTGTTTGGAAAATAAAGTGGGCGTTGCATTCGTGATTAGAGTGAAGTGAAAACATTTATGTCGGTGAAAATATATATATGCTTGCAACATTGACGGTCTAGCATTCAATAAAAAATTATTCAGATTTTTTCCAAGTTTTAGTTTAAAATGTCCAAATGGTCTTCCGCTGTGATGTACGTAATATTTACTGATATTTGATTTCATGGGAATCATTTATGAAAGTATTCCAACATTTATAATTGTGCTATGTACAGTTCTACTACGTAGTTTTATTAGAGCGACCAAATGAAGGAGGATGAGATTGGTGGAACGTGTAGAAAGAGTTTTACAGATGACATGCGTACAACATTTTAGGTGGAAAACCTAAAGGAATGAGATTTTTTAGTTTACCGACGTTTCAGAGGTGTGTGTTGCCAACATCATTAGCCCTGATGATGGAAACAACTCTGTAACGTCGCCGCAACGACCCAGAAGACAGACCATCTTCAGACTCTTCGCCGTGAAAACCTCAATTCCGGCAGGGTAAAGCGACTGTAGAAAACCACGAAAATTTCGGTCACTGTATCCGGTAACATGGCCGAAATTCGAACAGAGTACCCCTCCACCAGGTCGGCGTCTTCGTACCTAGGAAATCTGTCCAGGTGGACAAACATATCAATGCCCGAGCCATGTTAAAGAGAACAGATCTAACCCATTGAATCTTGGGTAGTTTAACGAAGGTCACGAGTTACGAAATTGTAGGCGATGCTGAAAGGATCAACCTTGGCCTGCTTTCAGGTAACCTGCCAGCTTTTCCTTGTACGGGCTCAAGAAATCGGGGAATCCCTGTATCCCCGCTGATATTAAAACCCGGGGCCTCCGGAATTCGAACTTCTCAATCGCCAATTTTGGTCTTGAGCTAACAACACACTCTTCCTTCTACAGCTGACAGTTGCTGAACTGGTCAAGAAATGCCTTGCCTTTATGGATCCCATAAGAGCTCGCCATTTCACCCACCATGATCCAGTTCAAATTGGATCACTCCTTTACATTTTAATATTATCCCCTTATCTCTACTTTTGAGGTTTCATGACCAAAGCTGTGTTTGAAAATCTTATTTCCACCATGCATGGTATATTTCCCACCTGTCCCAGTCTCGTTCGCCATATTAAAACTGGTATCAGCTGAAGAATGGACCAACTAATTGTGAAGCTCCTCACAGTTGTATCACGTGATTAGAAATTAGCATTCTGGAGGCAGCCTTCCGTAATGAAGATAACTGCATCCGTAGAAGCTTTGGCGTTATGTCTACGCTGCCTTCACGATACTCTTAGGTTCGTTTTCATGTCGATATACCAAGTGCCCGCTTTCCAAAGGCGGTGTAATATCATGCAGTTGACTTACGAGTTGTCTTTCTTAAGATTGCACGACTTTCAAATATCGGCCGGTGTAACAGTTGAACTGTTTCAAATCCGAGTATGGTAACTGTGTGGAGGAATTTTGGGCCGTGAGTTTGCGTATTGGTTACGTCACGATTAGGCGTACGCCATCTTCTCTGAAGGCGTTGCTGCTGCATCAGGAGAGGCGTCGGAAGTCACCGTCCGCGACCTTGAGCACGGAAAGGTTCAAGGTTTAACGTGATGTTTGTTTCTTTGCGTGTTTGACGATGTTTTATCAGCTACTTACGTTTTATATAATGTCGATTGACTGCGAGAATTTTAATCATGAATTGGGTGGTAAGTGGATAGAGGCGGACGTTGTCTGAATTTATCATTTTACGTGCCATAATTAAATCTGTCCATAGTACAAAATGATTAAACCAACTTAAAATGAATAAAGGGAGAAAGCGATTAATTCCTAGTGTCCTGGGGCTCCAGTGTGAACCTGCTGTACACATTTAGCATTAATTTATTAATAGGTTCTATTCATATATAAATTTGAACGTATTTCAATGTGAAATTCTGAACTTTACCATAAGTCTTGTGTGAGAATATTCTACAACTCAAACAGGACTTTTCTCTACGAAGGTAAGTAAACAGGTGGTTGGCTGGTTAGTTAATGAATAAAAGAGTAAAAATGGACAAAGAAAAGACATGCTTGTTACAAGAATTTAGGACAGTTTGGAGCAGAATGAAATAAGAAAAGTCCCTGATCTTTATCAGCGTCTGAAGAACAAGTTGTGAAAATATGCAAAGAAACCCACTGTTGCTGATCATTTGGTAGCTGGTTGGTTGGTCTAAAAGAATATCTGTTGTTAGCAAGCTGTGTTCACGAGAGCCCGCTACTGGACTCCGTCCAAAGCCGACACAGTTCTTCTCAGTACCCTTCACTATTCTTTTCCAAGATCCATTTCAATATTATCCTGCCATCAAGGTGCTCACCGTCATTCCGCCTTGCATGATACATGCCCCGTCTGTTTCATCCTACTTATGAATCTCCTTATGTTACAGTCTCCAACCAGTTACGTCCTCTGTTTCCTTCTGTTTTGTCCAAATATTCTCGTCAGTTATTTGTTCTGTGGCATTCTCAGTGAGAGCGATAGTCTTAGAAGGTGGTGTTTAAATATTTCGAATTTTGGATTGGCCACGGCGAGGTCCAACTGACTTGATCTCACAGTGTACAAACTGACAGATAAATCAGTGGTAGAGACATTGAAGCATCGGACTTTGTGACTGAAATATTTATAGAATGAAATACTGCAGTTAATTGTACACTCAACGTTAGGAGGATAATTCAGTTAATAATTTGCAATTGTTTTGTCTGGACTTACGGTCAGTGGTTATTCAGTACCTCTGTTTCATTTTATTATTTGATATCTAATCTATGAACAAAAATTGATAAGAATCTGGCGATAAAAGGCAAAGTAATTTTAATTCTTCGTAATTAGTAGCAACGAGATCAACGTAAGCTTATATTATCTCGCAGGATCCGTTGATCTTTTATCTTCCCATAATTTGAAAGTTTTGTTATAATTATAAAGATATTATTTCTGAGCTGCAGTCTTCTAGACACAGCTCAGTACAAAGTTCAGCATTATAATAGAGTAGCAAAATAAAAAGTCATATTCTCCACACTGGAGGTTGGCAAAATACGCCCCTCAGAAAACTTCAATCCATCCCGTTGCGATTTTCAGGTATTATTACTAATAATTCGTATCAATTTTAAAGTTTACGTGTACCATACAAGATATGTACTGTTATTTCAATTAAGTTAAAATATCAAAATTCTAACTAAAACCCCATTTGTGGAACACTGTCATAGACCATCCCTTGGGGGCACTGGATACCAGTTAACGTTAAAGCTTTCCCACACTTTTCAGAGGTCCTCGCTGTCTCCATCTTCAGAGCGATATTGAGTAAATGCTAATGAATTTCTACCAGACTACACGGCGCTAAAATCCAGAAAACAGCCATGTTCAGACTCACCGCCGTGAAAACCTCAAATCCTACACATTTAACTGCAAATTATGTTCAGCCAGTAAGTGATACATATTAACCAGCAGTTTTGTTACGGATCTCAGCGGCCCGCGGTCAGTCAGTCGTATTCGGCCCGCGATAACTAAGTAATTTCTCATCCCTGCCACGTACTAGCACGTACGCACATTCCTAAGGAAGGTGACATATGACAGCGTGCACTCAGGAAGGGGTTTGCCTCCTCTCCCGGGACTCCTATTACGGATGGTTTTTTTTTTTGTGTGTCATAATTTGTCGTGTTTCTTATAATTTCTTCCAATGACGACATACGACGCCCGCATACTTTTCCTTTGCCTACATCCTCTGTAGTTTTTTCCACCTTCAACTACGAGTGAGCAATTAACTGGCCTTGTAGGGTCCATCCATATGTAATTTAATACAGGCCTAAGTCTACGTCTGTGTTTAATGAACATCGCGAGTTGTAAGTATGAACACGTGAGCGGAAAAGTGGCCTTTCCGACGGAAAAAACCTCACTCTCGGAGCGGAAATTTCAGATTATGGTAAATGCTGATAATGTAGTAGCGAAAATTTGCTAGGACAGTGTCCTCCTCTCCTTGATC